CATCCCTCTCTAGGACACTGCTAGCAGACCCACTGTCCCCTGCCTGGAAATGAATGTTCTAAAGAGACACCTTGTGCCTCTCCATCTGACTACCAAACTGTTGAAACAATGGACCCCAAAGAAATAGAAATCTCCTCCCACCTCCCAGGGAATTTTGTGTTTGGAGAAGGAAAAGGCTTCAGCAAGAGAGGGGATTTATCTCCTGAAAAGTGATTTCACACAGTTCTCACAATTTGGCAGACACCTTACAGGATGAGTCTGAAGGACAGACAATGATGATTTGTCTGTGGTGGGCGGGGCCAATGATGAGTCTGTGGTGGGCAGGACCACACCTTGATGGGACTGCTTATATGTGCATGTCCTAAACCTTCCATTTAACCTTTAACCTCAAAGACAGACTTAGGGAGTCTGCTGGAGATCTATGTCCCTCTTCCCAATGGGATAAATCTCCTTTTTCTGCTTTCTACTTTTTATTTGGCTCTTTAAATTGGCTTATTGACAATGGGTGGGCAGACCTGACTTGAGGCCCAAGTTGTGACCCTCCCCTCCAAGTTCCTAACACCATCACTTCAGTGAGCATCAACACATGATGCCATGTCAGTCATATTTGTCCCTCATCCCTCCTACTCTGTGTCTACCTGGTAAATTCCATACCTGTTAAAGGTCCAAATATTGCCTCTTGTTATCTATGTGGCCCTTTCAGCTAAACAGTTGTCCCTTGGTCTGGGTCCTGTAGCTCCAGTTGTCTCTGCTATATGACTGAAGATGAAACAAGGAACAGAAAGTGTGACTCATTCTTCTTTCTATGTCTAGGGATCAGTGTGGTTCACAAAATGGCAGGAGTCTAAGGACATGCTCAGTTGATGATGGAACCAACATAGTTATAAAACAAACCAAGACAAATGGATGCTGGCTGTTGTGTCTTTCTGATCCATACCATTTTCTTCCATCTGCTGCATGTTCATGGGAGATTTGCTTTTCTGCCACCTCCTCTATTATCTTCTCTGACCTCCAATGAGGACTCTCCACCTCTCTCCTAGTTCAAACTACCTACTCCCTTCTCTATTTTGACAAGCTAGCCCCCTAAACAACATTCCTGTGTGACCACATGCCTCTGTTCTCAGGTTTCCTGTGTCATGAAAAATTCCTGTTCATGCAAAAAGAAGTTTATGGACAAAGATCTCTAACCACAGAGATGGACAGTCATCAAAAAGAGGATTCTATGTAGAGTTTACTAAGCTATTCTACAAAAAGTTTAGGTGGCTGTCTCAGCGTTTCATTGTGTTGTCCCTACATGGACAGTCATTTAAAAGTTGGGACTTTGTTGCTTTTCTGTTGGCTTAGCAGCTGCACATGAACTTACTGATATTTTAATTATTGTCTTCAGCCCCTTGGCTCCACACTTGGTGCCCTGCTGGCCATTCAGGCCATGGCCTGGCAGGGCTTTCAGCTCTGCCGCCACAGCAGAGCCAGGGCCATGACATGCAGGTTTAAATAAAGTCTCTGTTGTTCTATTTATCAATAAGATTTGGGAGTCAAAGGCTGGGGGTGAAAACCTACTAGCTCAGAGAGGCTGAATAGCAACTAGCCAACCTTGCTTTTTGGCCAGAGACACCGCAAGAGGCACATCTCTTACTTTGTCTCAGAGCCAAAAGGAAGCACCAAACTCTAGTTCCCACCCTTTCCTTCCTGTGCATCTTCTCTATCCAAATTGCTGGCTTCTCTATGGCCAATTCCAATCAGCTAGTCGCTGGCTCTGTCCCCTGATTCAAGGTTTAACTTTATTGGCAGTCTCAGGAGTGTGCAATCAAAATATCCCACAACAGGGCTTGGTCTATGATTTCCAGATCACGTTATAGACACTGTTTTCTTTCTCACATTGTCCAAGAGGTGCCTATATTAATTCCTCCTACAGCTTATAAGCGGTGCTGGTTCAATATGGAACTCAACAGGCAGCATTTAGACCCCACAGGGAACTTTCAGGATGCTGGTAACATATAGAATATATAACAAAGATGAAACTGAAGCAATTTCATTGTTTGTAGGCAAAACAGGGCATTGGACCAGAAGATCTCCAAGGAGTTTTCTAACTCTGAAAGTTTATGGTTTCTGGGCAGATGAGAACAATTTCAAGTGAATTGTGGAAGAAATAAGTTGAGGTTCTTTGTTTCACACACACACAAAATAAATAAATAAAATAAAATAAAATAAATAGAGTACCATAGTAACAAAGCTTAAAAAGAAATCTCAAAGCTTATCCCTGAAGCTTTAGAACGTTTGTCGTCTCATTTTTCTTGAAACGGCAAAGCAAATGGTCTCTTCCATCCCTTCAGGACAGAGGCCACAGTACTGACAGCTGTTCTGTACGGTCAGTAGGACCAAATGAGGACAGGAGACACCTTCCCTAGATGCTAAGTGTGTCCAGCATGAAAGTTGTACTGGCTAGTTTTTATTGTTGTTGTTTTGTTTGTTTGTTTGGTCATCTTTACACAAGCTAGAGCTATCTGGGAAGAAAAAATGCCAACTGGGAAAAATGCCTCCATCATAGTAGCCTGTAGGGCCTTTTCTTGACTAATGATCAATGTGGGATGGCCCAGCCCGCTGTGGGCAGGTGGTCCTGGGTTGCATAAGAAAGTCAGTCAGATGAGAAGCCATGGAAAGCAAACCAGTAAGCAGAGTTCCTCCATGGCTTCTACTTCAATTCCTGCCTCTGGTTCCTGCCTTGAGTTCTTGCCTTGACTTCCCTCAGTGATAGAGTGTGACCTGAGAGTTGTAAGCTGAAATAAACACTTTCCTCCCCAGGTTGCTTTTGGTCACAGTGTTTATCGTAGCAACAAGAAGGGAACTAGTTTCTTGGTAAATCATTTCAGCTCTATCTGTGGGCTGGAATTAAAAGATGTGTTTGCTTAAACCATCAAGGGATAGGAGGTTAGGTTATCAGGCTAGATTCCAAGAGCCTGTTATACTGTAATTATAAAAGGATCATTCAAATTTTCAGTCTGTACGCACAAAGATTAATTGATAATGCCTTGATAGAAATCCATGTCTCATTCCCTTTGTGGCTGTGTCTCCCGCAGCCCAGCAGTAGATGCTGACATGCTTGTGGTGGAGTTTGCGGTTAGAGATCTAATCAGACGGCTGCAGCCACACACTGTTCACCAAAGTTTGCATCTCCATAAAAAGGCAAAGTTTAATCAAACTGGAGAACGAGGAAGAATCACTCGGGAAGATGGCGTTCTAGGAGCCAGTACTCCCCACCCCTGTTTCAACTGTGCTATAAATTGATTACTCATAAGAAGCTGCATGTCTCTGCATTTATTTAGAATGTTTTGAGACCCTGATTGAGGACTCAAAGGATTTGTTTTGTCCTTTGTTGTGATTAGTAGATGGTTTTATGTTCCTTGATTATGATAGATTTGTTTTTGAAACCCATTATACTATCTAAATTGATCATTATCACAAACGGGTGTCAGTGCTTGGCTGTCAGTATTTTTCTTTGGGCAGAAATGAATAAACTAAAATTTTAAAATTAATATCGTTTGGGTTTCTGTTTTAACTACAGCAAGAGGGAAAAAACAGAGAATGATAAAGTATATTTTGAACTAAATGTGAACTCAATCATTTATTCAATAAACTTTTGTTGAGTATCAGCCATTGGGCTAAGTGCTTTGAAGGGTGTGATGGGGAATAAATCACATTGCCTGCATTTGTGGAAGTTATAGATTTGCGGAAATAAGACAGATGAATAAAAGTAAAATGAACAAATGCCTTAAGAGATGACGGGGTGCTCTGAGCTCAAGGGGGATGGAGACAAGTTCAGCTGAGAAGGAAGAAGATTCCAGAGATGTTGGCACATGATCTTTGTCTAGAGGTAGAGAGTCAAGATCTAGGAAGTGATGAAAGGGTGCTCTGGAGGGGAAGGGAAAGAAACCATGGATGATTTTAGAAAGGAGACGTGGCGTGGGTTGGCTGTGACATGGGTTGCCCACGTGGTGGAGAAAGCACAGATTTTAGCTCAGCAGCTGAGGCAGTGGCTTCATTGAAGTCTCACAGCTGACCCAGGTATGAGATCGAAAATGCATGCAGAGACCCAGATTCGGAAGTTGTTTGGGAGGCAGGATCAGCCCACCTTGGGGGCTCGGTGGAAACAGGGGGTGGAGGCACAGATTTGGAAATCAGCAAAAGAAATTCTTGAAACCAAAGAAGAGCCCAGGAACTCGGCTTACTGTGTGGAGAGTGTCAGTCACACTCAGCTCTGAGCATAGGAATCTGTACTTCTAAGGATCCCCAGAGGGGCTAGGCCCAGGGCTTGTCCTGTGATCAGAGACATTTACTGTGCCGTGGGAACCCTGCAGTGGAAACAGAAGTTACTGAGACAATGGATGAAAAACATAAGGTGAATGAGGATGACCCTTTGTGAATCTTCTGCAGCCAGGGATGGGGAAGAAAATTCCACTGTAAAGCTCCTACGGTGAGCTATGTCTCTGCTCTTCCAGGAGAGACCTTGTCATCTTGGAGCCTACATTCTAGTGCAAAATTATACACACGATAGACAAATAAACACATGAATTAATGTTACGGATTTTTATAAGCCATGGTAAAAATAAAGCAGGATGAATCTAGAGAGCAGTTGAAAAAATTGATTAAATAAAAAAGTCTCTAAATTGAAAAAGAAGAAAAGAAAATCACTCAGGACAGGACATTTGGGTAGAAATGGGAAGGAGGTTTTTCTAGAAATATCTGGAGGGAGAGTGCAGCAGGCAGAGGAAGGATGTGGCTAGATTCTGAGAGGAAAAACAGCTTGTGTTTGGGGAAAGGACAGGGCCAGGCCTGGTGAGAGCGACGGAGAAGAGGTCAGAAAAGCAAGCAGGACCCGGTGGTGAAGAAAGGCTTCCTCACAGAGCTGTTGGAGGCCACAGTAAGGGTCTCGGGGCATTAGGAAACTCATGCTAAGAGCTAGAGTTTGGAAACTCACTGGGGACTTTGAGTAGGAGAGTGACATGGAAGGATCCCTGGGCCTGCTGTGGGCGGTAGAGAACGTAAGTAGAAGAGGAGGCCAGTTCAGTGAGTAGCATGGGGACACATCTGGAAAGAAGAAATGACACCAGTGGCTGATGATGGTACTTGTGGAGGGTGAGGGGGGTTTGTAGGTTGTTGTCTGGAAGAAGGAACGGTTGGACACGTAAGAGGTGAGCTGTGTGATGGGATTGGAACTGGAGGAAAAAGCAGCAGACTTTAACGACTTGGCGTTCCTAACATCTCTCACTATGGTGCATGGGAACCCCTGAGTATTCAATTTATCTTTCCTTCTATTTATTTGTTTTTATAACAAGGTCTTGCTACCTTACCTTGCTGGTCTTCAACTCCTGGGCTCAAATGACCCGACCACCTCAACCTCCCGAAGAGCTGGAAGAACTGGTGTGAACTACTGAATGAGGCAGACACCTTAGGGTGAGTTCTTAGATTAATGCACCTCCAAAGCATCCTTGCATTTATTTTCAGCTAAAACTTGATGGTGCAAGTATAGCATGGATTGTTTAACTGAGCATGCTCAGACATTCCTATGTAGCTGTGAACAGACTCCCTAAGGGAAATCTCCATGACTGTTTTGTTTGCAGAAGGCCTTGATTTGAAAACAGCTCTGGTGTACTCCTTTCCTACTGCAGGAAACATATGTCTTAGCTGTGTTTGTTTTAGAATTCGTGATTGTTGAAATGCAAGGTTCTTGTGTTCAGTTACACGGGTGTACACCACTGGACTTGGCAAAAAATACTTCTCCAGTGAATTATCAGATGACTCATTACTTCAGCAAAGGCAAGGAGGTGTGGATTGGAAAGAGTCTCTAGAGGATGTGAGAAGGTTTGTTAGGAGATGGGTGGAGGGTTAACTAGATGGCACTAGAGGAAACTATGGTTTGGGGACCAGAAGAGCATAGATAGTATATAAAGGGTGTTGGAAAAATCAGCAGTAGAGAACAGGTCATCGTTGGGGTTAGTCAATACAGATGAAGGAAGGAAGCAGGGCTCTGGGCCTAGGACAGTAGCATAACCATGGCCAGGGAAAAACATCTGACACCCTATAGCAGTAGTTCTCAACCTGGGGTAGGTCTCAACTCCTTAGGGGGCCCCATATCACATATCCTGCATATCAGATATTTTCATTATGATCATAACAGTAGCAAAATTACAGTTATGAAATAGCAATGAAAATAATTTTATGGTTGGGGACTACCACAACATGAGGAACTGTATTAAAGGGTCATAGCATTAGGGAGGTCAAGAACCGCTGCCCTAGGGGAAGCTTAAATCTTTTTACTTTTGTGGTGTGTGTGTGTGTGTGTGTGTGTGTGTGTGTTATCCATGAGAACAGTCTTTGTTAAGAGCAGAGAGTGTTATATTTATGGAGATACATTTCTGTCAGCAAATTGCAGGTTTTTTGAGCAATTTTGTCCCATCCATTTGCCTCTTCTCTCTCCATCCTTTCTTCCTTCCCTCTTCCATGCATATTCCTTCATTAGTAATTTTTATACTGATTGTGTGCTGAAAAGATACTACTTTGAATGTATTTGACTAAAAGCACATCACTTGTTTCTTTTTACCTTTGTTGTTGTTGAGGCAAAGTCCTGCTCTGCTGCTCAAGCTCCTTCCTCATTCTCCCCGGCAGCTGTTTGAGCAGCATTTGCCAGTGTGTCCAACAAGCGTTTCTCTTTACTTATTTATATGTAGAGCCTCATACTCCCTCTGTAGCAATGAGCCTGCCTACCTTTAAAGATGTTCAATAAATGAGTGAAAATAACCTACGGAAGGAGGATCTAATTTAAATATCCTCTTAATCAAAGGGTATATAGGAATTTTGGCCAATGTCTGATTTTTCACATGGCTGAGGGTCCTATGGAATGTTGTCTCAGGTTGAATTGGCAGTATGAAGTGCTTCCAAAGAGCCTGTGGCTATGGTGTGACTAACAGGTCACTGGAAGTGTATTAAACATAAATGAACTCCTTCAAACCACTTCTATCAGAAGAAATACTTTCCAAAGCTCATGTATGTCAACCACCAGCATCCATCATTGCCGAGAGGCCAGGGTTCTGAATAAACAGTTCATTTGCATAACTGCTGGGTAGCTAGCAGGGTACCAGACCTCAAGGTGATGGAGGGTAGACCCTGTCCTAACAGTCAGCAGCTTGTGAGGTAGCCTGATCCTGTACCAGCTACTTGCTGTAGGCCTTGGAGTCCCAGCTCCCTGGCGCCTCTTCTACACCAAACCAGTCCACTGACATTGGAGGAACAGGAGCTTCACTACAGTTGGAGCTTGGGGGAGTGGGGTTAGACTGTTCAGCTCAAAGAAAGTTTGGCCAAAGGAAAGGTTTGGAACTGCGTAGGTGTCGGGTTAAGGTCCCCAGACTCAGCAGAGTTCTTTGTCCCACATGTGTTCTTTGGCCTGCAGATCTGGAGGCCTGAGGCTGGCTTGCTGTGGGATGTCTTTCAGTGTGCCGTGAACATATGTCGTTCCCACTGGTTAGTAAATAAAGCAGCATTGGCCTATGGCAGGGCAGGATGGAGCCAGGTGGGAAAATCCAAGAGAGAGAATGAGAGGAGAAAGGAGAGTGGGAGGAGATGCCAGCCACCGCCCAAGGAGCAGCAAGATGCCACCAGACTGGGAACACCACGGCTATGTGGCAACTTATAGATGAATAGAAATGGGTTAAGCTATAAGAGGTAGCTAGCAAGAAGCTTGAACCTTAGGTCATCCAGTTCATAATTAATATAAACCTCTGAATGATTATTTTATAGGCGGCTGCAGGACCACAGGGCTGGGGTGAGACCAGAGAAACTTTTGGCTACACTTGCTCTGTGGTTTTCTTGAAAATCAGCTCTCTGTCCTTGTATTGAAATTAGACTACAAAAAAAACAAACCAAACCAAATAAGGCAGGCAGTGGTGGCGCACGCCTTTGATCCCAGCACTCGGGAGGCAGAAGCAGGTGGATCTCTGTGAGTTCGAGGTCTACAGAGCGAGTTCCAGGACAGCCAGGGCTATACAGAGAAACCCTGTCTCAAAAAACAAAACAGAGACCAGACTTGTCTCTGCTCTAAGTTACCCGACATTGTGTAAATCAGTGTTCTTCAGGCCTGCCCTGAGACTCCACCTTATAAGCAACCTTTGACTCTATTTTGAGTATAAACACAGAAGCAGGATGACTCTGTGCCTTGATGGGCATATAGACAGCTCCAGCTATCCAACACAACCTAGAAGACACAGACTGACAGTTTACCCCTAAAAGTAAAATGTATACTATCCCATAAATTTATCAAAAAAAAAATGGACTCATATAAGCTCATGGATGTATTAAAATCATACGAGGAAAACCAGGCCTGAGAACTTATCAAGGAAAGGGTGCATCCCCTTCACCTGGACTCCATAAAGAGAAGGATTCCTAACACTGTGGTGATGGTGGCCCCACTGACCCATGATCTGTGCATCTGGTGTGTGCCTCAAGGGACCAGCCGTCAGAGAACTTCCAGGGGCTCCAGCTCAGCTGTCTCCACCACGGATGCGGCCTAATCAGCTGCTGTCTATGTGTCTATCCATTCATCCTCTGGAGCTGGCTCCACCTGTCTGGCGTCCACATCTTACACTTTGCTTCTGCTGCCCCATTTAACAAAAGGCTCAGTTCAACTCGGACCTCGTTTCTTGGCTCTGGGGCAGCACTCCAGCACCGATGGCCTTTGCATTTCTATCAGTTTCCCGCTTCTGTCTGTCAATCAGGCCTCTTAGGCTCCCTTCCGACTATGCCGTGCCTTATTCAACCCTTTGTAGCAGGCTTTAACCTGCAGATATACAAAAATACATGGACGATTTACTAGGTGATAGGCAATGTGTGATCTTAGAGTTAAATTTAGTAGCTACTATTGGAATCAAAGAACCTATCTCTGCCTTGGCCAGATAGCAAGGGAATTGGGACTATTTGGCAAATTGCAGCCAATGAATCAAGATGGCTTGTGAACTTATTGCTAGCCAGTAAGTTCTGATATGGAGAGAGAGAACAGGTCATGTTTGTCGGTGCTCCTGACAGAGCTCCTTCACAACCCCTGTTACCATGCTCATTTTGCAAGTGAAAACAATGATAGGTAAATGAAGGGGAAAGTGTAGCAGTCGTCGCCCCTTAGAGTTTGAAATAGCAGCTGATGGAGGGAGGAAAGCCTCACGGTTGCCTCCCTTTAGAATCTGAAATACTGTGATCTCTCACCCCTCATCTCTCTGCTGCAGATGGAGGTTATTCCAGGCAATCACAACTGGTCCGAGTGCAGAGAATAAGTGGCTGTGAAGTGGGACATTCCTAATACAGCCTCTCAACCCTCAGAGAACGTCATGGAAGGGGGTGGGGTGGGGCAGGATGACTAGGTAAGAACCAATGGACTGGGAGAGCCGCTGGGAACTAGTGTCCCCTGGACATAACAGGGTTGTTGTTGTGCTCATGAGCTCTCAACAACATGGCTGCCCACCCAAGCCATTCCCGAGACCTTCATCTTGGCTGCCATCAAAGCAGGGGTGGGGGAAGGGCTCACAAGGCCCCGCCCCTAGGTGAAGAGCTATAGGCAGTGAGTGACTGCTGAGAGAGAAACACAATTTTCTTCAGGGATGAGCCCATACCCAAGTGGTCAGCCCTGCATCCATGTACTTATCAGCAACACAAACTGGACTCAATAGTGTGTGTGTGTGTGTGTGTGTGTGTGTGTGTGATTACAGAAGCACAGAACACAAATTTGAGATGAGTTGTGGGGTGATGCAGAAGGGAGGGAGGAGTGGACATGACAAAAGAACCATTGTACTTATGTATGATATTCTCAAACAATTTAAAATAGCAGATGAAACGAGAGCTATAGTTTAGACAAAAGGGAAGGTGGAGGCGACGGGGCTTTGTGGAGTCCCAGCAAGGGAAGGCTGTTGTCTCCTGACAAAGCATGCCCATTTTTATAAATTCTCGTCTCTCTTTAATTATTTTCCAGCTTCTCCGTTACATGATTTCTAATCAAAAGACTGAGTCTGTCAATCATCAGGACAGGAAAAAGCCCGCCCCCCCAAGCTATCTGATTGAGAAACTTTGGAAGTAGGGTATAGCCTGCTTGACATGCAGGCCGGCGCAATTCCTGCTTTACCTTGTCATATGTTCTACCTAGCTTCTACACTGTGCTTGGTGACTGTCTAGACTATTTCCACGGGGATCACAGGGACCAGGGAGCTGGGGGTAGACCAGATTGAGCGTCTGGAACATGGCATTTAATCTTTGCTAAGTGGACCACTGAACTGGTTTAGAGTGTCTTGTAAAATGAGGCCGCCTGTTGGGTTTGCACCACTGGAAATTTAAATAATAGAGCATACAGGCTTTCCTCCCAGTGTCAGGGCTTGAGGAAGGAGAGGAAGATGGAGCATTAAGTCAAAAGGAAAAGGGAA